TAATTGGAAAATAATTGATTTCGATTATAATTACTGGCGAATTCAATATGAACTTAGTTGCTGAAGATTTTAAGTTTAAAATGCGTTGTGATTTTTTCAGTAATTTGTATTTTCTTTTTTTTGTTATTTTCTGAGCTAGTCGAGGCCATAAATGTTGATTTGTAATTGCAATTTCGTTAAAGGCATTCTGATATCCAATTATTATGTTTCTATACAGAGTTGGTTGCTTTTAACACAGTATGGTTTTTTATACGTTGAAACAATTATTAAATTTACTTGATGTAACCAAAGTCCTTTGTAAAATACAAGCAACATTTCTTGAGATGTTCGGTCGGCTTTATTATCAAAATCTTAAAGCATGAAACAATAATTAGTTTCCAAGTTTATCGGGTTCAACCCTTACGTATAATCTTATGGAGATTGAAGGGTAAGTAATAGCTTAAGAGGTGTTGGCAATTTTTTACTTTCCCCTTTTGTAAATCCTACCCATTTCATGTGAGTGGGACCAAAGTATGGTGGGCACACTGTAGGTGTTAATAGGCCTTATTTGCTCACCTGTGACTTAGTTTTATATAGGTCTGAGTGTATGTGTATGTATGGATATATAAACAAATACTGGTTTCAACCTTCAAGCAATGGTTTTTTGGGGATTTTTTTTTCTATATCAGTGTTACGCATTTCGATAACTAGGCCGACGATTTGAGCTGTGTTATAACACAATAATGAACTAATATATAATACAGATATTGAAATCTGTGTTTCGTAAGATGTTTTTATTTTTTATTTTACATCTCTATGTGTATAAAACTATTCATTTTTTAATAGTATAGTTATAATACGGTTCATAGATGTGTGGGACCAAACACCTGCAGAAATTTATAGCTAAACACTTTATAACTGCCATACGTATATGAAAAATAAATTAATGGATACAATTAAACATAATATTATTTTCAAAAGAAAATAAAATTTGGAAAAAAATGTACTTAAATGTTTTTTTTTTACTTTGTCATATTATTTTAAGCTATGCATATAAGTGTGATTCTTAATCATCTGATAACACTATATATATATATATATATAAATGTGTATACTGTATATATATATATATATATATATATATATATATATGTATATGTATGTATGTATATATATATATATATATATATATATATATATATATATATGTATATGTATGTATGTATATATATATATATATATATATATATAAATATATATATATACAGTATACACATTTACATAAATTATCATGTACGGAAATATTTGCACGCATTTTTTTTGCTACATGAAGTCGGCTACGCACTCTCTCAAATATTGAGTTACATCCCTTACGTAGTGCACGTAAATATAATCCATGTGTCGTGCCTAACTATATCAACTTACAACGAGTCAAATTAAAAACAAAATCATTTTTATCATATTGAAGATCATGTTCGACAACATGTTGGTCAACAAGTTGGATATCATGTTGGCCAGCATGTTGGTTGTTAAGCTATCAACGTTTTAAGCCACGACACATGCCATCAAAGTTAGGCTAAGAGCTTCCGTGTGTCATTATTATTATTATTATTTCCATATCAATTGGTGCCTACTTATATTTAGTCTATTATTACAGTCAGCTCCTAGCCTATCCGGCTACATCACTTACACAATTTGTACCCGACATTTGTGATAATTTACACATATCCTGAGCAATAATTATCTAATTTGGCTGTTTATTTCAACCATTCATACTGTCGTAATTGACCCGTGGTTTCTTTGAAAATAGTGATGTGCCGTATTCGGACATCCGACGGAGAAAATAATTTGTATCCGTATCCGTACCTTGGATGAATGTTTTAATTATTTTTTTAATACGTTCATGAAATTCCATTTTAGTATCAGTTACTACCATTATTAAAATAGCGATAAGGTACTGTTTGACCATCTTGATAACATAACCTCAATATGTCACGTTATTTATATTTAGTTCACAATGTCAAGTGTCATTTTAACTTTACGCGTATTATCTTTTACTTTTACAGAGAAAAAAGTCCTGCCGTATTTGTGGATCTAAACATCCATATTTGTATCCGTATCCACGGATATACATTATCAACGTTCCGGCACATTACTATATATATCAATATATATACAAATAAATAAAATTGAAGTGTCTGTTTGTAATGTCAAAATAATAGGTTTCTTTCATGCTCACACGGTTATTTGCACGATACCTATGCCTAAAAACCAGTTTAAATATTTTTCGTCTCTGTGTCTGTTTGTTCCGGGTAATCTTTAAAACGGCTGGACCGATTTTGATAACATTTTACTACCAAGTAGCTGTCTAATCTAACCGAACCGATATTTGTACTATAAAGATACACGCGTCACTTACGACAAATACATATAATTTGCTACTCATTGAAAAATAGACTTTATGATAAATTCTTCTAAGTTCTATTTTGTATAACAATGTAATATATTCAACTACTTTCAACGGCTACAATAATGATGTGTGTGACAATATTTAAGAGCTAGAATTTGTTACAGAGGCTAATGGCGCGTTCAGACTAAGCGCTAACAGAATAGTCCTAGGTTTATTCGAAAAGCAGCGATGAAATTAAGAGTTAGGTACCTTATTTGAAAGGTAACTTGAATATTTAGAGCAAATAATAATCTACCTCATTCAAACAACGCCATCTAGTCCCAAACTAAGCAAAGCTTGTACTATGGCTACTAGACAACTGATATAAATACATATATACTTTTTTTTTGTAAATACATACATATTATACATAGAAACACTCAGACCAAATCAAACATTGAATGTTTAGGCACACAAATGTTTGACTTGAGCGGGAATCGAACCCGCGACCTTTGGAATAGCAGTCCGTTACACAAATCACTACGCCATCCGGTCGCCATAAATATTTCCGTTAAACAAGTTTTGTCACGGTATCATTTTTATGTAATCTTGAGTATTTTGAACTTTGTTTTTTAATTTAACAGTAGTTGTTAAATTATATTTTATAATACATAAAAGATATATATGTTTTTTAAATGTTCTTTAATTTTTCGCTGCTTTTTATTGTCTTGTTTATAATAATTATTTTGCGCATCGTCTGAACACTGACCATTATTTAATGACAAAAGGCGTATCGAAGGACGCAATGACAACACGTAATGACGCATATTATAGACAGCAAGAAAACTTTTGAGACAATACCCGGGCAATGTTGATAATATAGTATTACATGTCTATATACATTGCCCGGATAATGTCCGTACAATGTCAGCATACATTTCTAAAATTTTGTAATAACGTCAAATGTTACAATAAAAATATGTTTTTTTAATTTCTATGACGTATTTTATTTACTACCTATATTATATATTATCTGCACTTACATTCAATATGTTGATTGTCGATAAAAATTAAAAGATTTAATAGGAGTTTTGTAAAATTCCTCACTATTACAAATATAATAGTATTATTTAAACTAATTCAAACAGTAGGTCAATGCTACTGTTTTAATATATATTATATGTCACAAAATAAGTCTAAAGGAGCTTTTTTCCTGTTCATTGAAGCTTTCACTTTCCTCTAAAGGACCCTTTACACTTGGGTGGACGGGTCGGCTTATGATAAGTGATTCCCTTCGCCAATATATCTTTACCTACAACTCTAAAGATATAAGTGCGTTGACGCATTTTTAAGTGTCCCTTCAGAATTGGAGGGGTGGGGGGGGGGGGGGGGTATTGTTCGTACTTGTAATTAAAAGATACTATATCATATAGTATATCAACAACTTTGTATCTTAAGCGAAAGACTGAAGGTTTGTTTTAAGTTTACCGATTAAAGTACCTACTTAATTATGATTCAAAAGCACAATATGAAGTTTTATTTCCTATGCCATAAGGTAGATAATGCCATATCATACTTTATAGCTTTTTTTTTTATTTGTCAATGTGAACTGATGTTTAACAAATGTGTTAAAAGGATATGTTTTACATAAAATGTTATTTTATATGAACTTTTTATTAAAGTATGAGTGAGTCAGCATTGGTGCAAAGGCTTTTAAGAATAATTTACTGACTTAGATATCTTAAAGATAGCTTTGAATCGATAACAAGTCATAACATGAGTATGATTTAATATTTATATACTTAGGTAAAGTTTGAACGAACTATTTCTAGCCATTTTTTTCTTTGTCCAGACTAAAAACGATTACAATCCCATGGAGGGTTGGTGTCAGATGTCAGGGTCATCATCAATTATCATCATCAACAGCCTTTAATAGTCTAATGCTGGACATAGGCCTCTCCTTAGAAAGGAGGTTTTGGCCTAATATACCGGATGGTATAGGGTTTGTGTTTCCTTCTCTCTGCAGTGCTCTTGTCCTGCGTAGTTTGCTCCCTTAGTCGGATCTTAGGACACCCACGGGATGAATAGGGGTGGTGACTGTCTATATTCTTAATCCGTCACCACACGGATAAGTACGGTCAGGGTACAACAAAAGAAACAAGTGGAAGTTTTTTGCAAAATTCACACTGCGCCAACCCTAGATCCTATTCGGAACAGGACAAAATTGATAATGATAATTACTCTTTAAATCTTATTAATAATATTTTTGCTAAAAGATTCTTTAAGTGTTAACTATTAATACACTCGTATATAGCTGTCAATTTCTCATTAAAACCATGTTACGATTTTTTGTTTTATCAGTATCTTAGATAACATTTTAATGGAACAACTTTTACACTACGAAGAAGTTCCTCGTGGATACATCACTACAAAGAACAAACCTTTGCAGAACCGACTCTTACTCAAATTTACTGAGAGAAGAAATAAGAGATAGAGTGAAATTTAAAACAGGAAAAGCACCTATAGCAACTTATAGCGTTGTATTATATATTGACCCATAGGGCACGGGTCCCTCAGGGGTCGTGGGTACTGCGGGGTCCGCGGGGGGTGCGGGCGGCGCGGGGAGCGCGCATCACCGCGACGGGCAGCTGCTGGCCATGGACTTGCCCGACAGGCAAGAGAAGCCGCTAGTTCCTGACTGTAGACTGGACATCGATCCTCTGTTGAACACAGGAATGCCGTTATTACACGTTATTTAGCTTCACTTGTATGTTTGTTTGTATGTTTGTAACCGACTCCTTTGGGCGTCATTTTGACTGAGTTTAAACGGTCAGAATTCGTTCAAACTTTGTAGATATATCGAGGACCGATGACAATATACTAATTTAAAAAAAAAAGTTTGAAAAAACTAAAAAACACGCTTTTTATACAAAAACCAAACTAAAAAATAGAAAATAAATTTGAAAAAAAGCGTGGGGTGCTTTTTACTATTGACAACAGGCACCCATTATTTTTATTATTTATTATTGACCCAGGCATAGTTTAGTTTTCTATAAAAAGCGTGTTTTTTTATATTTTTTGATTCTATAAAGGTAGACTATGTAAATATATACCTATTATTTTAAAATTTAAGGCAATATATTTGTATTAAACGTATAAACGATAGACGCGGTACATTTTTGCATGAACTACTATAGCGTGACGTCATACCTAGCTACTGTCAAATCATTTATAATTAATATTGATTTTACAAAACATTAAATTACAAATACAGTGAAATAATTCACTTGAAACCTAGGAAATAAGACATAGGAATTATTGCTACTTTTAAATCATACTGATATGATGAAATGATTGGTTATAGTCACTGCGATTCACCTGTGATTGTGTTATGGTAATAAAGATAAACGCCATCAAATAAATCAAAATTATTTTGATTATACTAAGCCCTAGAAGGGATTTTGGGATTTACTCCATCGTATCAGATAAAGATAAGAGGAATACCTTACACTCAGATGAGTACCTCCACCATACATGAGCCCTACACGTAGGGGGGAGCGTCCAGGCCAGCCCTTCAGATCAGTTAAGAAAAAACAATGGCCAGAAATACTCGATCGTGTAAGATAAAGGTAAGTTGAGTCAATTACATACACATTATTGTGTAATTTAAAAAATCAGACGATTTGAGCGTGACATAAAGCAGTGGGAAGGTCATTAAGTTAAAAAAAAATGAGTTTTAGACCTTAATTTATTTATTTTTGAAGCAAACAATCGTCAGATTTTAAATATCCTGTAAAATTATCGTCAGTTTTTTGTCCAGTATGAGAACCGAACCGTCTGTATAAAATCTAACACGTTGGGGTTTTACGAATTGGCGATTTTTCGAATTTGTAGTTTTTATTTTCGATAATTCGCTATGCGCTTGAGTCACTTTAAAATCATCAGACCTTTCACCGGGAGCATTTTTGGCATCCAAATAACATATCCCCAAAATATCTGATCCGCCTGAATATTATTTTTTTCGATTTATTTCCCTTACATTTTTGTAAACCTGTAGAAGCTTTTCCCACCGCTGAAAGTGGATACATTATGTACCTTTTATTCATTCTATTGCCTAATCTTTGAAATGCAATAAGTCCCCATGCAATAAATCCACATTTAGCATCATTGGCTCCCTACTATAAATAATATTATCCTATTTAGAATCCGACATACAATTAATAATATTACAGGGAGTTGACGATGGTTTTTTTTTTGGAAATGAATTATTGTATCTACAAGAAGACGTGAACAGCCAAAAAGATTAAAATGCAAGCACAGTAATAGATCAAAATAAACTTTTTGATGTGTAATTTCATTTATCTCGCTCTCCTGTAATCTATAAGAGTGATTGAGTGAAAAGGGACGGAATTGTGTAACAGGTAACAGGCATTAACCATCAGATGTAATACATCATACGTAATTATTGTAAGATTTGCACGTTTTATACTATTATGTACACATATGGTCAAAAATTTAGGAACTGCATAGGTATTTAATATCTGTTAAGTCATCATTATCAACAGCCTTAAATAGTCCACTGCTGGACATAGGCCTCTCCTTAGAAAGGAGGTTTTGGCCTACTATACCACGCTGGCCAGGCGGGTCGGTATAGGGTTTGTATCGAGTTTTCCTTCTCTTTGCAGTGCTCTTATCCAGCGTAGTTTGCTTCCTTAGTCGGCTCTTACGACACCCACGGAATGAATAGGGTGACACTCTGTATTCTTAATCCGTCACCACACGGATAAGTGATCGCGTTAAATCTCATTGTAACAAACAAAATCCTTTTATACATAAAATTGTGACGTCATACCTAACTATTGCCGAATCAATTTAATTTTAATATTTTAATTAGCAAACTGTATATCAATCCGTCTGGCGGTGGCGGAAGACCTATGTCCGACCCATGTCTAAGGAGAGGCCTATGTCCAGCAGTGGACTAGATATTAAAGGCTGATTGATGATGAGTTATCAAACAAAAACAATTCAAAACTTAAAAATAATAACGATTCTTATTTTCCATGGTCTTATGATATATCTACTTAATATAAAAATAAATTATTTATGTTTAAAAATAACAAACCACCCTATCGGTTACATCTGGTTTCATCAGAAAGCCAATTCTCGTAATAAAATCTCACAATTCAGTTCCGATCAATGTCATAAAAGTTATTTCGTTGTGAAGTATTATATTATATTGTAACCGAAAATTGAATCGGGGATCTGCTAATTTTAATAATAATTTAAGATCGAGAGTCGATCGGTACTGAATTTTGACCCAACTCTTATTACGAGAATCGGCCTCCAGATCTCCTAAGAAATTGGTTTAGTATCCGAATAAATCATCATAATTAACATTAGAGCTTTGTCTGAAAGCATTATTCTCCGCGGTCGAAGCTTCTTATACCCAATCGACTTTATATCTGTTGCAATTTTGACACCGGTGGTGGTGAAGGACGGAAGAGAGGTCTCACTTGTAGTGGTGGCTGGTGAGCGTCTCGTGGAAGTACATGAGCTGTGCGGCGCGGTGCGCGCTGTCGAGCAGCTCGCAGCGCCACTGCAGCACGAAGCTGCCGCACTCCACCATCACGTGAGAGCCCTGCACATACGTACACACATCAAACTAGGATAACATGGCGATAGAGGTTCTGGGCAACAGGTCATCTTTTTTTCCTTTAGTTTAGGGGCAAATTAACAGACGGGTCCCACGGGTGCACTCGAGAATCACAGCCCTCCCCCCGCAGAAGTAGGGAAAGGATTAGGGTCCTTTCTCATCCAGTGAAAAACAACGAAAAAACTGTTTAACACCTGTTTTCTGTGAGGTCGTGGTTCCTGTCAAGTTGGCCCATTTGTGCCGATGCATACATTGTTCGTCAAATAGTTGATATAATTAAATTGAAGGGGGCAACACTGGATATACTCTATATATCTATTCCTATATTATGACATATGTCAATGTCATATGAGAACGCAGAAAAACATTTCATTGTATATTTTGAGTATATTTTTATTAATTTACCAAAATTAGGGTTCATTATTTTTTCTCAATTATATGGTAATAAAATGATATGAATTGAGGGAATGTTGTTTTAATACCAAACTTGTTCCGTTTCAAGCTAAAGCTTACTCATCTGTGCAAGTCTAAAGACAGAAATACACAAAAAAGAATAAAGCATAGAGAAAACACTCCAAATACCTAACGTATATTACCTATTATAATATTAAGTTTTATGAGACCAAACCATCTCTTTGAAGTAAAGCAGAGATATAACTTGTTTGAACGAGAAAGAGTCACCGTTGTGGAAATAAGCCACAGAAAAGTCTAAGTGGTTTGCTGGATAGCTGTATTGCCCCTATATTGAAGGTAGATAGATCAACAATTTAAATTACAGCTCTTTCTGTGATAAGTTTGAAATGGTGATATGATTTACGAGAAAAACTAGGCTCAAAAAAGCTGAACCAAACATATTTTGACCCAGACTAGAAATAATCCCCACTACCGAAGGAAGCAGCTCCATACATTTTGTATTCCTGCACGTAATAGGGTTGTCGGAGCTTTAAAATAAGTTGCACAGGGTCGTCAACGATACCACGTTTTTTTTTTCAAACCCTTCAAGAGGCGAACCGTATATTGGTAGTAAAAACACAGCAGCATTTATTCTGAATGCTTTATCTTAAACGATAGATAGATACGCTTATAGACGATATACTCAATAAAATAACTTGAACTCTTTGAGAGTACTGAGTGTATGTAACTATACCTGTATGCTCTCTCCATCATGGCACACGAGGGTAGGCTCCACCCTGTGGAAGTGCTCCCCTTCCCGCCACCCTTTCTGTTCCAGCACAGACTTCTGCTCCTCACTCCCACCTACGCATAGAGCTGGAATGTACATCATGGGTGGAAATTACAGGCAAAGAAAAAAAAACAAATCATAAAAGTTACTTAAAATAATAAGCGAAAATAATAATTGTAATGCTCAAAATACATAAAAATTATATTTTTTTTTATAATTAAACACGTGTAGTACTGTTAATAGAAAGAACACACACACACAATACACTATAGCCTATTCGCGTTAAGAGAATAGTGACGGATCGATCAAGACCTCCGCGCCCTGACCTCTTGGTACCTGATTGGTCAGGATGCGGGGCTGACTGACTCCATGATATGGTAACCTTGACCTGGTGCTGCAGCCAAACCTTGGGTTGATGCTGATGTCAGGGGGACCTGAGTTAAAGAGAGTGTTAGTTTACCTGTGGCATCAGCAGGAGCGTGTCGGAGTTCATGTTCACTCCTATACACGGTGAACGCAATGTCGTGACGGAGCACGTCGAAGTCCCACGTCAACACGCTCTGGGGGTCGCGGTTCACTACTATCACTTCGTGTACCTATTAAAAAGAAGGTATTTTTATGGTGTGCAGGGCAAAAGAGCAGACGGGTCACCTGACGGTAAATGTCTACCGAGACCAGCTGAAGCTCAAGAGTCACAAGTACGTTGGCGCCTCTTGTGTGTCCCCCCCTCCGTTATTAGGGAGAGGGGGATTTGAGCTCCGGTAATCGCACTCGCTATGTGAAAAAACAGCGAAAGAAATGCGTGATTTTCTGTGAGGCTCTGGAATCACTCCGGTAGAGCCTGGCTCATTTGTGACGAAGCATGGCTCTCCCTCGGTATGTTGTAAGGCCTCCGGTCGAGGCAGCCAAAACAAAAACATCACAAATCACAACGGACGATTTAAAATAATTGGTATGTGATCTATTCTCTATTCTCCTTTCTAAGGAGAGGTCTATGTCCAGCAGTGGACTATTATAGGCTGTTGATGTGATGTGGTATGTGATCAATTTCACGAAATAAAGATACTGAGCTTGAATTTAGTGACAGACCAATATCTTCTGCAAACACAGTGATTTTGTAAAAATGTATACCCAATAGGCTTAAAGGTACTTTTTTGGTTTTTCTGTCATGACCCAAAAAAAATAAGAAAATACTGTGACAAATCATTGCGAATCTAGAAAAAAAAAGAATTTGAAAGAAGAACGAATGTTTACTTACCTGTCCTTTACCCAAACTGACAGATCGATAGATGCTGTCCTCGCTTAATGGATCTCCATCTCTTTCTGTGAAGGTACCGCTGACGTACAGACTCTTCGGCACCAGACCACCTTCGTGTACGAAGCTCTGGGAAGACCACGTATGGATTAGCATGGAGATTTTAAATACTGTGTGTCTCCTTTTTAAACCCTGTGATATATTTGAGATGCATATATACTATAAAAATATATTTTATAAATATTACTAATTTATAGAATGTCACAATCAAAATAAAACTATTATTTTTTATTATTATTTAACTATTATTTGACGACCGGATGGCGTAGTGGTTTGTGTAACGGACTGCTATTCCAAAGGTCGCGGGTTCGATTCCCGCTCAAGTCAAACATTTGTGTGCATTAACATTTAATGTTTGATTTGGTCTTTTTGGTCTTTGGTCTGGGTGTTTCTATGTATAATATGTATGTATTTACAAAAACAAAGTATATATGTATTTATATCAGTTGTCTAGTACCCATAGTACAAGCTCTGCTTAGTTTGGGACTAGATGGCGTTGTGTGAATGTAGTAAAATATATTATATTATTATTATTTTATGGAAACGAACAGACTGGTCATGTCAGACCGGAGATGGGTCTTTCACAGATGTGTCTTTACACATCTATAGGTATATATTTATATAGATGCATCAATAATAGATCACACGGTATAAAGGAACCACATCACGAATAATATTTAATAAATATTCACGATATATAAGTATCGTGGTCTAGATGACGATACATAATATATGTTGATGTGTGACTAGCTTAGGACAGTTTGGACAATATTCTTGGTTTTGTGAAAGTATTTTGAATAGCTTTTAGAAATTTCCATGTAACGTGAAATGGGCTGCCGTAGATAAATTGAGAGATAGTGGATGTATGACATACAAACGAATTTTAGCGCCAATTTTATAGTACCAAATTTAGATAGTAGCAATACCATTCTAAGTTGACCGGTGTGAAGTTAGGCACGGGCTCTACTGAATACAGGAAACTTAACTTCAGTCCGGTCAAATCAGAATACAAATTGTAGTTTTAAAGATCTTTGGTTACACTTACTTTTAAAGCCGATTTAATGAATATACCTAGCATAATATTGATGAAACAAGTAATGTGTAAGTGTCCGAACATATATGTGCGGTGATAAGTACATAGTTCTCGTAGCACAATGTGTGTGAGATGAGACCATAGACTTATAGCTTACTATATAGTCTATGGTTAACTTTTATAGTCTATGGTTAGCTGTAACAACGTAGTACTGGCACGATAGCACTTGGACTAGACAAATATATGGGCCTCGGTATCCACGATCAGGACTTTATATTTGTTTCCTTTTTTTTTATGACCAGAGAGTAATAGAAGTTCTCCTTTTTAACGATTACGGATGACTTTAATATGCATATATAATTGTATATAATATTTGATTATGAAGAGACACTCTGTGGAGTGTTTTAAAAAAATATTTTGCTTTGATATAATTTTTAATATGAAAAAGTTTTAAAAGTTATTAATATTATGAAAAATACCATAATATCAGCTTCGATTACGTAAGAATTTCGTTGCACAGACCTTTTCTGTAAGGACTCGTGACAGTTGTGTCAGTTAGCATAACCCAATAAAAAAATACATATATAATGTGGATACCGGGAACCCAGTGCAGTACTTATCGCGTACGAGGTCGTAATATTGATGAGGCACGTTTAGCACCGCCTCTACAATCTCCGACTGCCGCAATAAAAACAAAAAATACCATGAAATATCCTTACGTTTTTGTTTACAAGACAATACCACTAATATTATGTACGTATCAAAGTATAGTCAGATTTAGGACTCGGTAGATTCAAAGTCTGTAAAATATATAAATACTGTTCTATATGGGAATCGAACCCAAAATGTCTGTAATTTTGTTTTTGCTCCTCCCCCTCATTTACAATATTCCCATATCAAAAAAAAAACGTAAATATTTTTCCTTCACCAGGATAAGTCAGAAGAATACAGTATTTTAGACTGATAGCCTAGGCAAAAAGCAGCCTTGTTACTTTTAGTTCATAAAATAACAAAATTAATTATAAAATTCGATTCAAAGTTTTCACATCCAGTTTCTTCATCTGTTCTTAATACCATAAAATAGTTATTATCCGCCATGTTAGTATGTCAAATTGCTCTGTAAACTAAAACGTGTCAATTGAATCTTGAATTTACAATATTTCCGGTGATAGAATGAAGTTCCTTATCGCGCGTTACAAAATGTAACAACACTTTTTTCCGACACTTCTTGGCTATACTTCGTTCCAACCGGGGGTCCACAGACCCCTCACGCCGTTTTTTTATACTAGTACTCTACCTTCAGGCCCATCACACAAACGATAAGTAGATAACTAATTTTTAAATTATAAACAATATTTTACAAAATATCAGCGCATATGTTTACACAGCCGACTGACGTCATGACCACAGAGAAATATGGCGTCCACAGCACATTCTTCATCAAATTTGAACATGTAAAAATTATTACATGATATATACATAAATATGATTGAATGAATTTTAGTTTTTTTGTGATTTATTAGCACTATCAAATCTAAATTTGAAAAATGGGTGTAATATTCCCTATTCTGAACAAGACATTACTAGTGTTTTGAAGTTTTTATTCATTGAGCTCATTTTCTGACTTTACTATATGTTTTATATGATCGATCAGTTTCGAGATACTACTCGGGGATCGAAAATCGTTAAGTTTTCAGCGCTCAAAGTCATTCGTGTGGTCTATTTTATAATTCTAAATATGAATATACCTACACGACTACATATACTCTTGTAAAGATGATGTAAGGAGGTATTTGGGATGTTTACCTTGCAAGGTCCTCCAAGGAAGTCGGGTATTAGGTCCTTCGGTATATAGTCGAGTAGGCCACCCGGTTGCAGATAGTCCTTGCCGCCGTAAAACAAGAATTTACTGCGAGTGTTATCGTCTGAAACATTTTCGTTTAAAATTTATTAGGAAAACTAAATTAAAAAAAAAACTACGTTATGTTTTAACTAGTGTTCGCCCTATAGTCGAAATTCGATCGAAATTGGTCGAAATTTGTGTTTGTTATTAAACATAAAGTAATATCAAAACATTTTTTTGTAAATAAATGCATTATAAGCTTAATACTATTTTTTTTTCTTCTTTCAGGAATATAGACAAAAAAAAGTTATTGGCATACATTTAGCACATGCAACGTAGCACGTTTTGGGTTCTGAAATTAACACTCAATTCACAAATTTTTTTGCTAATAATTTTTTTTTTTTTTGCGAATAACAATATTTAATGATACTTACCAATAAAGGTGCTGACAATGGTCCACAATATCGGAAACACCCTCGGAGCCCTGACGATCAGAACCCGTCCCATAGTCTCGGGGTAATTAGCTTCCACGATCTGAATGATACGGAGCAGAGCCCTCACTCCAGGCCGCCAGAGGTGGCGCATGTTGAGCCCGTCCAGGTCAACGAGTAGACACCAGGACTGGATTGCGTGTTCCGATGCACGGGTGGCCTCTTCTAGGAGTTTTAGTCCTTCCTCACATACGTGAAGGGTCTGGAAAAGATATGGGAATTACGTTTATCAATTTTATTGTTATTTTAACTAAATTGCTGCTAATCTCTTCTCAAGAACTGTGGTCAGACTCGTAACACAAACTTTTAGGTGTAAAAGAAAGAAATTAAAATGATGTATGTTTTTTTTTTGGGGATTTTACTGCTAAGTGGTGAGAACGATACCCAGTTGGGACAAATATTGTGATGTTTTTGGAAATATATAAATATGCTTGTCAGCAATCTAGTCAATGTAATTCAGGCCGTAGTACAATTGTGTTTATCATTCAATTTATTTTTCCTGTATGACCTTTTGCATTCAGGGTCATTAACCACACCGAACTGAACAGGATTGGCAAGTGACATCGATAGTGATGCGAATTATTCAAAAGCAAAGAATATTGACACCACAGATTAGTAATTAAAAGTTTATGAAAGTGAAAGACTTATAGTATTAAATAAGTTTTACAGTAACGTATTATTCAAATGACATTGGAATTGAGTGCTTGTTTAATGCTAGCTTGAAATATTTTGTTCAGAATCAAAGAAATTAGATACCAGTTGAAAAAACATTCAGCTTAGCTTGACAGTAAGAACTTTTAAATATGTATTTAAATTTCAGCTTATACTGCTAACAATACTGTATTAAGAATTATATATATTTATGCTTAGTCATCATCATCATCAACAGCTTATAACAGTCCACTGCTGGACAAAGGCCTCTCCTTAGAAAGGAGGTTTTGGCCTACTATACCTTTCGCTTAGTCACGTTACAATCAAAAGCTACGAACATAAAGCATGTATTTATGTTTAAACGAGCATATCTCTGGAACTTGCAGTCCTATTTGTGAAATACTTTTAACATTTCATAGCCCAATACCTGAGAAAGTTAAAAGAGTATTTAACGTCACACTACAATACACAAGAACGGCGAAGTGAATAAAAATGTTAGTGACACGGGGAATAGGAAAATATTATATATGACAGAACTCACCAACTTTAAGAGGCCATCTTCTCCGATAGACTTCAGCAGGCCTTTGACATCCATTTGTCCCAATCGCAGAACGTACAGCGGACGCCCGTCTATCAACAAATCAACTAATCAGTCAGGTATTTGCAGTCCACTGCTTCATCAACAGGATTTACTAGTCCACTACTAGACATAGCCTTAACCGGCTCTTTCGACACCCACGGGATGAATAGGGGTGGTGGATTATGTATTCATAATCCGTCACCACACGGACCCACTGCTTACGAATACTTAACAAATATTTTTTATGGTATAAGGGTCAAACAAGCAGACGGGTCAGCTGATGGTAAGTGACCGCCCAAGGAAATATGCAACTCAAGAGACCAAAGTACGTTGCCCCCTTTTGAGTACTCCCACAGAAAGGTGGAGGGGTTTGGGCTACGGTATCCTTACTCACTTTTTTTGCATCTCAGGACGGAAGGAGGTAGCAGCAAGGAAGGAATTTCGGTGAGGCCGTGTTATAACTTCGGTCGAGCCGGTAGGCAATTTGATACGAGCCTAGCAATGCCGCTTTGGATATTCGTTCAAGAAAAGAGCTTACTGAAGCTCTTGGCAATCCAAGGTCCCCAAGCAGGTTATAGAGGGATTTAGCTGGTAACCATTTTTAGTTATTTCGTTGCTTAAGTCAAAGTAGTTGTTTCTTTTTAAAGCGTGGTCTTTAGAAATGTTCATTTCCCATGGCACCGTGAGTTCTATTAGTACTACAGGCTTAATTGAAATTGCATAAAGAAATATGTCTGGTCTGGATGACGAGGCAGATATCCTCCGGTATTCTGTAATGATTTTAAAACATGTCCACTAATAATATTCAGTTACTGGTCTTTTTTGTTGAGCCTTCCTTTGCAAATGCGATGTTAATTCTTATTTTTGTTGTTATTCCTTTTATTGTTGTTTTTTTTTAAACACTTTCCCCACCAATAGTAATCCCGGCGTAATATGAGGTATATCTAGTACCTTGCCGGCCCAGACAAAGGCATGTGCTAGGTTTTGTCCTCATTCCCTCCATCCAGGTACAAAAGTCATACACCTTACGCAGTAGTTCTTGGCACTGCTACGGGTTCCGCGTGAGGATCGCGAGGTCGTCTGCGAATGCTAAGATGGATTCCGTATATTGTCCATTTATCTTAAACTGATAGGCCAACCTCTTTTCGTGTGTTACGATATCCCCCATTAATATATATATAACTGTATTAAATACTACTGGTGATAGGCAACAAAAATTGGAACCTATTCGAGGGGTTTTGTATATCCCTCTTTTGCTGTGATTACAAATTTTAATTTACAATAGTAATTATTTCACAAACTATTGGCGGAACGTTATACCATTTCAAGGCAAATAACATGAGCTCGTGTCATACTGAGCCAAAGGCGTTTCCTTTATGTAGTTTCACTTTACGCGTAGTAAATATTACTCACAGTTTTACAATTTACTGATAAAGTTTGCAAAATTAAATATAATTATTATAATATCAAACTTCTATCATAATTATGTAACGACCTGAATATTTTTTTACTTTTTAATTAACAAGGCCATAGAAATATACATTGTGTAAGTGATTTTAATTTAAAAAAAAAACATTTGCACGCATAATATTCTATTTTCGAAAATTTGATATTTTTTACACTAGAAAGATTACTATTATTTTTAATTTGGTAACACAGATATAATTTTATTTTAAACGTAGACATTACTATTACACAACTGAATAAATATAATTCGTCTACGTACCCTTGTCATGGTGATGCCAACCACCAGGGAAGTACTGCTTCACGACATCAGGAGTTTCATATTCTGATAATATTTTGTCGACTTGGTGCTTTTTGCGCCAAAGTAGGGACTGAGACAGCATCTCCCTGGCTTTCTCTACGTTGAAATCTCGAGCTCGAAGGAAACGCAGTAGTGTTGTGTCACTTGGCACCTGGTAATGGAATAATCTTATAATAAACCACATATTATTGTGTTGAAATTACTTGTTGAAATATCAACGAAAACTACGGTAAGTTATGTGAATTCTGGATGTAAATTGTTGTTATTTTAGTGTTTATTTAAATTTGTTTCTATTATTCCCATATAAAAAAAATCCAAAGTTGATAAACCAATAACATTCAGATAATAATACTCTGGTTTCAAAGTAGGTTAAAAAGAAAGATCATTCAGAACTTGGATTTTATGATAAAACGCTTATACCTTGCCCTTCTGCAGATCAGCGATCCACTTCCGCAGTTGCAGCAGCCGGGACTCCTGCATCGGAGTCAGCTCACCCAGGTACCGCTTGATGTACTCGCTGTCCAGAGTATATTTATCTGGAAATAGAAAATTAATTGTGACTCCAGGGATGACATGACACGCTCGAGCCCGCCCATTTGTCCCGAAGTATGGCTCTCCCATGATAAGAGTAGGAAGTATTGTTACATCCCTAATTTTGATGATCTTGCATAGGGATGCAATACAATATTGACGACGACCGAATGGCGTAGTGGTTTGTGTAACGGACTGCTATTCCAAAGGTCGCGGGTTCGATTCCCGCTCAAGTCAAACATTTGTGTGCATGAACATTTAATGTTTGATTTGGTCTAGGTGTTTCTATGTATAATAAGTATGTATTTACAAAAAAAAAGTATATATGTATTTATATCAGTTGTCTAGTACCCATAGTACAAGCTCTGCTTAGTTTGGGACTAGATGGCGTTGTGTGAATGTGGTACAATAATATTATATTATTATTATTATAATAATTGCTGACTTGCAATAATAGCAAAATGACGTAAATTCAACATTGCAGAACAGCAATAAATACATTATAAATACCAATCCTTTTCCTAAATTAGTCAGTTATTATTCTTTAGTTCTGATATAATTTGTGGTCACCGACTACTCCCCAACCTTGGTTGGTTTTCAGCAAGGAATTCTAGAGCAATAATATACTCCGGGTCTATTCTGCACTTCGCTGGGGCCAATAAAAACTCGTATAATCCGTGTTAAGTGGTGTTATATAAGTTTGTGTCTATATTAAGTTGCCAAAAGTTGTGTAGAGTTATAAAATAAATAATTGTGATAGTCAGTGGTGTTTTTTTTTTAAAAGTGCCGGACTGTCCAATCTAACAGTACGCTTTTTCCTTGGCAGTTTAAAGGTCGTATCAGTCCTTAAATATTGCACATTGCAGCATTTCTTTTACAGATTCATTGTGACAGCCAAAATGCTTAATTAGCGTACAGTACCAGGAGTACCAATTAACCAAGTGATTCGCATAGCTGCAACTTGAATTTAACGGCTATTGCGAGCCATCAAACTAACATATACTAAACATCTTTACGTACTACTAGCTGAAACCCGCGGTGTTACCCGCTTTGTTGTTATAACCGCGGGCAACGCCGCGGGGCGAAGCTAGTCTAAAAAAAAGTAGCCTAATTTACTCCTTATGTCATCAGCTATCTACCAGTGAAAGCTTCGTCGAAATCGGTCCAGCCGTTCCAGAGATTACCCGGAACAAACAGACAGACAGACAGACAAAAATTGTAAAAAATGTTATTTTGGCATATGTACCGTGTAAACATAGATATGCATTTAGTAAAAAGCAGATATTTTAATATTACAAACAGACACTCCAATTTTATTTATTTGTATAGATAAAAAACCACTTAAAGCAAAATAGAATTTATATCTCCAAGAAATATTGGAAAACACAAAGTTTCTACAAATCAAATAACGGGGAAAAGTGTCCAAGAAATCGTAACGAAGTTTGCTCTAACGATATTTCTTAGAATTGAATAAAGAGCAAGTTTGAAGGGACAATCACTGGCGTCTTTTTCTACCAACTTTGACTCAGTTCATTCATTTATTTTCTGATCGACGCTTTGATAAATAGTCCATTAGCGATCATTGTTGCCGATTCGATTAAAAATAACAATCGATTTCGATTAACAGGAAGTTATCATCGATTTGAGGAAAGTCAATTAATATGTGATAATACTATACTATTAATATTACTAAACTCTTGTAATAAATTATTATGTGACCTAAGTCAACTAAATTACACATCAAAATTGATTATTAATATTAGAAAGGACTCAAGTGTGTATGTTTCATTTAACTAGTTAATTAAACATAATCTTACATCATCAGATCAACAGCCTTTAATAGTTCAGTACTGGACATAGGCCTCTCTTTAGACAAGAGGTTTCGGTCTACTATACCACGCTGGCCAGACGGGTTGGTATAGGGTTTGTTTCATAGTTTTCCTTCTCTTTGCAGTGCTGTTGTCCTGCGTCCTGTCCTGTTATCTTGCTTCCTTAGTCGGCTCTTACGACACCCACGAGATGAATAGAGGTGGTGAACCTCCGTATTTTTAATTCATAACCACACGGATGATAATTTACAATCACTTACATGACTTACAATCTCTTTTCATCATTCTCAATAAATAGGTATTTATTGCAAATATAAATTAAATTTTCATAGGTAACAAGTCTTTTTATACTAATTGCGATATTGTTAATATCGATATTTAAATAAATAACAGTTTTTTTTAAATCTATATAGCACTTAAACGATGTAGGTAAATAACATTTTTGGTTTTTGGTACTGTAAGTCCATACATACGTTTCCTATTGCACATAGTGTTGTAACGCTTTATTGATTGCCAAAACCTCCTTTCTAAGGAGAGGCCTATGTCCAGCAGTGGACTATTAAAGGCTGTTGATGTGATGTGATGTGAAAATGAGATACGTGTATCAAAATGTTTACGAATGTTTATAAATATAAAAAGATAAATCTATATAGTTTTCTAAAAGTACAATTTAAAGATTATTTTAGAGAGTCTGGCACAGTTACGATCACAATGAACTGACAAAAAGAAATAAATGAATGCATATAACATAGATAAACTAGTTGCGTCTTATTGCATTGACCAGCGCACCCGGAGTACGTCGGTAATAGGCAAGGTCAGGTCAAACCAATAGAGGTTACAGCCGAAACGAAAATGTCACTTCTAAATAAACAAAAGATAAATATTTTACTAATATTATTAAACTCAAGAGTATTTTGGGTTAACTAAGGCGTTTGAATAATATACATAATTCGCTTTTTTTAATTATCACCGATCACAACGAGCCTGCATTACGGATTGTAACAAAATCCTAAATTTTTAATCTGAGGGTAGGATTTTTTTATATTTGTAATTTTTAAATTTGGGTAGGACCAAACTGTAAGTATATCCTCCCAAAAAAAAGCATTTTCTAAGTTTATACTAATATTTCACAGCTGTAGAGTTTAAGTCGAACGCGTTAATTTTGAGAACTACTGGTTCGAAAAGAAAAATTATTTTAGTGTTGTATAGTTCAATTATCGAGGCAGGCTAAAGGCTGTATAACATCATTCACACACATACACGCATCGCGCTGATATTCTTACAATCCATGCTCTTATATCTAAGCCATAATCATGTTATTGCTAAAAACTGTAACAGTAAAGTAGTCCATCAAGTCCAAGATTGACAATATTGTCAATAGTGGCCCTAGCAGAAAACTGATGTCCAGAACACAGGTCTGTACCTAGTTTGGATGTCAGGGTTCAAAACTTGGTACCGCACGATCTCCTTTGAGGCAGCGAGTCTCCTGGCCGGAACTCCACCGTGGGACCTGGAGGCGAGAGCCCTTGCGGCACTGTATCAGTGGCGCAAGGAGGCGCAGGAGTTGGGTCGATGCCCCGAGATTCGAGAAATCGATGACCGGAAATCCCAACTCCGCCAGGTCATCATAGGGGAGTGGAGGGAACGACTCGGGCAACCGAGCGCTGGGCACGCCGTCATTGCGGCGGTAAGACCCGTTATGGAGGATTGGCTCGAGAGGCGTCACGGGACCCTCTCATACCGATTGACGCAGGTGATCACTGGGAAGGGATGTTTCGGAGATCACCTGTGTCTGATCCGCAAGGAGCCAACGCCTGAGTGCCACCACTGCGATGGCCAGACCGTGGACACGGCTCTCCACACGCTGGCAGAGTGCCCGGCGTGGGTTGAGCAGAGGCGAGACCTCGTGGCGGCCATCGGAGTGGGAGTTCTCTCGCTCGATAGCCTGATTGCGGCTATCGTGCGGAGCGAGAGTGCGTGGAACTCTGCCGTCTCCTTCTGCGAGCAAGTTATGCTCGCGAAGGAGACGGCGGAGCGGGACCGGGAGAGGTTTAGAACTCTCCCGGCCCGCCAGGCCCGGGCACGGGCCAGGCAGCGCAGGCGACTCAGGCGCCGGAGGTCGCAGAACGACCTCCGTCCTCCATAAGCGCAGGCCTGGGGGTGACAGGTGAGGCCATCTGTCACCCTAGCAGAAGCAGGCCGGGGTGGCGGCGAGCGCGTTGCGAAGCGCGCTCGCTTCCAGGGAGCACAGGGAACATGGGGTTCCCACACGGGGCGGGGGTCGTCTACTCGTCTGTAGATGACCCGAGGTATGTCGGGGCACCAGGGCCTTCCTTTCTAGGGTATACCTGGTTCAGCGGCTATTAGTACCCGGCGAAGGCGTGCGGTTTTAGTCGGTTCGAGTCCGACATGCCACCGACAGGTGGTATCCGAGGGGATTTCCGCACGGAAAAAAAAAAAAAAAAACAAAAAAAAGGGTTCAAAACTTATGTACCCACAAGAAAATTGTAACTTTAAAGATAATGTACTTCTGCAATTCTTTCTTGCGAATTAAATAATTTTCTTTATTTATTATTATTATTATTCTACGACCGATAGCAGCGAAGCATCAGTGAAAACTGTTCCGAAAACGGGGGGAATTTATTCCTTTTGAGAGACCAAAAAGTCAGTTCATAAATGATAAGAGTTCTGAGATAACAAACAAAAAAAACTGAATTGAGAATCTCCGTCTTACTTTTAAATAGTGAAACATTTCCTCCTTTTTAAAAGTGAAAACAATACGTTGTACGAAACCCAACAACACAATTATCATTTTGTTTTTATCAACTAGGTTTATTAGTTTCCTTGGTTAAGAATGAAGGACAACTGCGCAGCTGCAGCGAACAGGTCAAGGACTGTGCCTCCAGGCTGCGGGAGACGGATTAAGGCCAATGGCTTAACATGTAAAAGGGTTTTATGCAGGTTTTATGTCATGAGAAATGGTTTTTTTTTTAGTTTTTTTTTTTTCTCTTTTAAAAAGACAATTTCCGCATTAGGAATATATTCCTGGGTCGCGGGGGACTTTACAAACATACATGAAACGGACACAAACAACACCCAGACTCAGAACAACAATTTGTGGATCACACAAAGTGTCGTCCCATGTAGGATTTGAACCCACAACACTCGGCGTAGTAGGAAGCGGCGTGGCGACCGCTTAAACCACTACGCCATCCGTGCAATAAAAATTACTATGGTACATTCTGCTATTTGATACAGAAATATTTGATGTAATAGTTATGTGGTTATGTGAATCAGGGAATATGAGTGTGTTTTTGAGTGCGTTATGTGTTATTAAATTCTTTAAATGTGTTAACTATAAGAGTAATTTGAGTCATAAAGGTATGGGTGGCGGTGTTGGTGGTGATCATGGTTAAGTCTTGTGCGAGGGTATCGTGGGCATTCTGTAATGGAGTGTCTAAATGTCTGGGTAGTTGTGTTGAGGAATGGGGTTAGAATGCATTGTTTATACTATCGTCGATCACAAATCATCATTTAAGCCATAAGAGGACCACAACTGGAAATAAACCTCCCATGTAGGATAGCTTGTATATTTAATTATACATTTTTAGTCATCATTAACAGTTTTTAATAGTCAACTGCTGGACATCCTCTTCTTAGAAAGGAGGTTTGGGCCTACTATACCACGGTGTTCAGACGGGTTGGTATAGGGTTTGTTTCAAGTTTTCCTTCTCTTTGCAGTGCTGTTGTCTTGAGTAATACAGTTAAATATGAGTTGGATATTAAAAACTACAACTTACAAGTAGAAGAGGGCAATCGATTTTTTCTCGAATTGCAGAAGTTGGTTTTGGAAAGTATTACAGATGAGTCTAGCATGGTATTGCTTAATTATCAGGATTACAAGTCAGTAAGTATAAGTTGGCCATAAACGACGTGGCATACAATGGGAGAGGCCTATGTCCAGCAGTGGACTGCGATAGGCTGTTGATGATGATTGATGAAACGACGTGACATACAATACATACTTATTTTTTTCCCTTTATTAATTAACAGACTAGAGGCGTCATGTGGTTATTTGATGTTTAAAAAAGTACGATTCAGTTAAGCGCTGTTAAAACTTCGAGTTTCGTCTTTGAAGTATAACAGTTTTAAAATACAGACACTTGATTCATCATCATCATCTAAACCGAAATACGTCCAACGTTGCGATCCTCGCAATAACACAACGTTAAAAATTATTTGACGGGCCTGTTGGTCTAGTGGCTGACTGCTAAACCGGAGGTCGTGGGTTCGATTCCCACCCAGGACAAATATTGTGTGATGAGCACAGTCATTTGTTCTGTGTCTGGGTGTAATTTATCTATAACTAGCTGACCGCGCAACTTCGTCTGCGTCTCTCAATAGTAATAAATTTTCTCAGTTTTTGAAACATTCTTTATTGGTGCTCCGCTCCTATTGGTCTTAGTGTGATGATATATAGCCTATAGCCTTCCTCGATAAATGGGCTATCTAACACTGAAATAATTTTTCAAATCGGACCAGTAGTTCCTGAGATTAGCGCGTTCAAACAAACAAACAAACAAACAAACAAACTCTTCAGCTTTATAATATTAGTATAGATATGTATCTATTTAAAAATATATAAGTATGTTTATCAGCAGTCTGGTTGCGATAGTACAGGCTCTGCTTAGTTTGGGATCAGACGGCCGTGTGTGAGATATATTATTATATGGCAGCTCTGCGTAAAATATTAAAGTTCAGCCGTATTGAGTAGACTTAATAAGTAGACAAAATAGTTTAGGAAATAGGCTCGCAGGAACAGGAATATTAATTTAATACAAAAATTAAGTGAAGACAACTTGACGACCGAATGGCGTAGTGGTTTGTGTAACAGGCTGCTATTCCAAAGGTCGCGGGTTCGATTCCCGCTTAAGTCAAACTTTTGTGTGCATGAACATTTGATGTTTAATTTGGTCTGGGTTTTTCTATGTATAATAAGTACATATTTACAAAAAAAGTATATATGTATTGATATCAGTTATCTAGTAACTATACAAGCTTTGCTTAGTTTGGGACTAGATGGCGTTGTGTGAATGTGGTAGAATATTATTATTATTATTATTTCTATGAATTAGTTCGACTACGCGTGCCGTACCGACTCGTCGCCACGCCTACACCCGGTCTGACCATTAGATATCGTTAGATGTTTCATATTCAAGAAAAACTTTTAATTATTTTAACGAAAGCTACACAAATATCAGTTAATATTTAATAATCAGCAAGTAGGTCTGATTAAGCCTTATGTGTCTCTGCCTCACACAATAGGAGGCCCTTCCCATCTAGCTAGCTGATCATTTGATCAAACATGTTCCAGATTTGGAAGCCTTTGTTTGTATACTGTGGTAGGACAAGTTAGATAATCCGATACGGCACTACAAATTGATTGTGGAATTACAGAGGGTCTGCTGTAAATGTTACCACTTCAGGAAAGTTCAAAGAGTAAGATTTTAACCTTTGTGGTGCTAAAGTCAATTTAAATGTCAAGCTATTTATAGAAAGATTTATGGGAGTTTACTTCCTACGCATATTTTTTTTTCCGTTTGATTAAAAATGATATCATTATCGTAATTTCTTAAATAATCATAATGGCAGCCATTAGCATATTCTCTAAGATTTTTTAAGTGAAACTAACTACTGTTCATCACATCACATCAACAGCGTTTAATAGTCCACTGCTGGACATAGGCCTCTCCTTAGAGAGGAGGTTTTGGTCTACTATACTATGTCAAGCTTTCCTTAATTTTGCAGTGTTGTTGTCCTGCGTAGTTTTTTCCCTTAGTCGGCTCTTACGAAATATCATCAGATTCTTAATCCGTCTTAATAAAGATAGTGTTGCCACCAGCTACTGTTAAGAAATAATAACAATATATCCACTATACAAACTAAACAAACATGCTTAAAGCGGAAACTGAATTAAATAGTACAAAAATATCCACTATTCATCTTTAAGCTTCATCATCAGACTATAGTTTACAAGCATAATACGGGTCCAAACTCGAGGGGTTTAATAGTAACCCATAAAGCATTTCATTATCCACCTCCTGGCTCCATCGTATCAATGACAAGATGCCTAATTATAATTTTAAGATCAAAACTACAAATAGAAGTAGGTTAAGCAGAAAGGGACACTACGAAAAGGGTTATGTTTTATATTTGCGCTTGTGAGTAACACACTCAAATATAAACTTAACCTTAACTTAACTAAAGAGACCTTAACTTTCCCTTGTGAGAACACAATTTATATGTATGTCACAGAATCAATATTAGCTTTAATCGACAAACAAGATTCGTATTTATATATATCCAATATCTACTACTAACTAAATACAACATTTGAATAGGTAAGTAGGTTTATTACTTTCTGAAACTAGTTATAAGTTATAAACTACAAAGGGGAAAATCTGTGTATACATGTGGTATTTTCTATGTATACTTAATACTGGCAAGCTCTATTGAGTAAAAACTTCATTTCTCGAATTTACAAAGTGGATTAGGTAGCGACTTTAGTGCGAATAATAAAAAATAAATCAAAAAACAATTCGAAGCAATGTTATGAAACTTATCGACGTGTTAAATTAAAGCCCAGAGAGCTCAAATCTCAGTGTCTCATATCTTTCATATCATTCAATCTGTGGAACGGTATTTCCAGACCGATACGACCTTCAAACCTTCAAGAAAAGAGCGTACTCCTTCCTAAAAGGCCGACAACGCGTTTGTGACTCCTGAGTTGCAGATGTTCTTGGGGGCGATGGTCACTTTCCATCAGGTAACCCGTCTGCTCGTCTGCCCCTCTAACATAAAAAAAGAAAAAAATGCCGCAACTATTTTAACAATGTTTAATTTGAAGCTGTGAGATTCACTGTTACAATATTTATAGATTTGCAAATTCTTTTTCTACCTACCGATATTTCTACCGATGCCAATGGCCACTCGATGGCATCTTAATAGCGTGTCAGTGGTATGACAGTGGCTTGGCGTGAACATAAAATAGCAGAATTGAGGCCCTGAACGGGCGTCCCGGTTGGCAAGCGAAGTCGACCTGTACTACCGCAGACGTCGCGAGCAGGAGGAGAACTCCGCTCTCCTTCATATACAGATATTTCTATTCTAAAAATATCACCCATGAATGTCTGTAACCCTGGAGTCACAAGCGCGTCGCCGGCTTTTGAGGGGGAGAAGTACGCTCCATTCTTGAAGGTTTCAAGATCGTATACAGACGACAACTTGTTCCACAAATTGGTTTTGCGAGGCAAAAAGTGTCCTGAAAAAGCGTACAGTGGTGGAGTGCCAATTATCCATGTGATGGGGATAAAAAATTGGCGTGTGGAACAATGGCGGAGAGTTGCAGCCGGTATTAGTCAATAGAGAATGTAGAGTAAAGCTACAGAACATCCAAGCCTAGGGATCGAGCCTATTTATTGACGAATGAATGCAAATATGAAAATATGTTTTTTTTATGTTAGAGGGGGCAGACGAGGAGACGGGTCACCTGATGGAAAGTGACCATCGCCGTCCATGAACGTCTGCAACTCAGGAGTTACAACGCGTTGCTGGCCTTTTAGGAAAAAATGTTTGAATTATTTAAACTTATTTAAACTTCAGTGAAAAACAGTCGGAATGTAATTATAAGCAGTTTATGGATCATGGTAGGTACTATCTCATTCAATCATTATCATCAACAAAAGCCCTTAATAATCCACTGCTGGGCATTGGCCTTTCCTTAGATAGGAGGCCTTAGGCCTACTATACCACACTAGCCAGACGGGTTTGTTTCAAGTTTTAATTATCTTTACAGTGCTGTTGTCCTGCGTAGTTTGATCCCTTAGTCGGCTCTTATGACACCCATGGAATAAATAGGGGTGAACACTGTCATACTCGGTATTCTAAATCCGTCAACACACGGATCTCTCGTTCCCATCTTCACAGACCACCATCTCATCACCACCATCATCATGTGCCAAAAAATTTTACTCAAACAAAATTTATCTATCAAACACAGTCTGTTTGTTGACATAACTGTAGCGAACTTGCAAATGGTCATAGTAATGGCTGTCTCGTGAATTGTCGCTCAAATTGACAAGTAATGGCCTTTGTCCGCCAGCGGCGAGGAAACCGGTCCTAGTTAGAGGGAAACGACGCATCTCTAAGTAATGCGGGCTAATTTTAACCGCATTTAACATAGATTGCTGTATATGCTGTAATTTTCTGAGGAGTGGGCTATCTCGCAGTTTACTTGATTCAGCAGCAAGTTCCAGGTTACCATTTCATGGAAATACCATCAAAGTAACAGTATAGCGAATTTCAGATAAATCAGGCTAGTGGATTTTAGTGAGATCCTTTCACCACCTAGGAAGTGAGCTAATGCTCTTTAAAATTTATAGCTAAGAACCATCTTGATCACATCGGCTTTCGAATAAAAAATTGGTCCATCCGTTCGGGAGCTATGATGCCACAGACTGACAGATACACAGATTAAACTTTTAACACCTCTCGTTTTCCATTGGGGGTTAAAAATGATCCTTTCAACTTATTACGTTGTCATACGTAATATTTTTGGTCGTACACTCGGAGTCTGGAAAATCTATTTCAATGCTTGAAAGAATTCGCTTAAGGGATTCTTTAGCTAGGGGTCCGTGTGGTGACGGATTAAGAATACAGAGTGTCACCACCCCTATTCATCCCGTGGGTGTCGTAAGAGCCGACTAAGGGAGAAAACTACGCAGAACAAAAGCACTGCAGAGAGAAGGAAAACTTGACACAAACCCTATACCAACCCGCCTGGCCAGCGTGGTATAGTAGGCCAAACCTCCTTTCTA